ATTTGGGCAGTGTCTCTAATTCCTGCATGGAATCACTGACTCTATTTGCGTGTTTGTTTTATGAACTGGAGAAGCCCCTCACCCATAGGTGATAGTGCTGTGGTGAGGAGTGCGTGGTGGGACTGGGGGTGGCTCCGCTGGCACGGAGCAGCACCAGAGGAGTCTTGTGCCTGGGAGGGCGTGGGTGTTATGTCTCATTGCAGAGTCCTTATGCATAGATGTGCCAGGAATATGCTCCTGCCTTTCAGCTCAGTTCACTTAACCCATGCAGATGCCTGCTGTTCAATGGCTTTTCATAAATTTTGAGCTGAGGGCCAGGAGGTGTTGATTTAAGTTAAATGAATACTATTTGAACTGAGTTTTAAATGGAATCAAGAGTCTGCACATATGTTTTTGCCCATTTTAGTAACACGTTGTAAGCTAAGGCAGAGGAAGGAGCTGCTACCTTGTCTCTCTGAACTTGGTACTGCCCTGCACTGGCTGCAGTTCTGCAGGGTAGCACTGCAGCAGAACAGCACCCTGACTTGTGATGGTGGCAGATCATAAAGCACGCTGAGTAGAGTTCGTTAAGCCCACTCTAATGAAGCTAGGAAACATCTCACAGTAGTTCTGTTTTTGTCTTTTTGTTAGAACTGGAGATATGTCTTGGCTAACTGGAAAAGGCTCCTAATGCTGGATATAGCTGCTCTCTCCTGATGCTGCACTCGCCCTTGAGGAGATGGAGATCACCTGATGTTCCATGGTGAAATGCAAATAACGCAGCTGAGTTATTTCTCTTCTCAGACTTGGATGAACCCAGTGTCTTTCACTGAGCAGTTACCTTCCCAGCAATTCCTATCTGCATGCAAACAGCTGCTAACTCCTGCATCCCAGCGGCTGCCTGTACTGGGATTCTGCATTTTAAGTTCCTGTGGGAACGCAAGAAAGCAGGACCATAGAGACATGGGCTTTGACATTCGCAGCAAGCATGTGTGCAGCATGACTGGCGAGGTGTCACTGTGACCTCTTCTGCCTGTGGGACACCAGGGGAGCAGGCGGCTGTCTACTTCCATGCTGTTCTGCCTGGGAATGATTTATGAAACCAGGCAGAGTAGTTATTCTGCGTGGCATGATGAGATCGTCTACCCCAAGCACATCTGGTTTTTCCCATAAACAGCACTAGTGCCTTTCATCGCTCCATGTGACCACTCCATGCTCTCAAGCACATTATCTCCTTCCCAAATCCTCCTTGCTCCCAGCTAAAGTCACCCTGCCACTGTGCTCCAAGCACATCCCTGTGGAGCATGCCGTCAGGGCATCCTGACCCTTTCTGCATGTTGCATTGCCTGCAGCAGTCACACTCATGCAGCTCTCCTCATGCCAGGGCACCCCATAGCCTCCCACCCAGCCCTCAAAGCTAGGAGCATACTGGGGTGGTAGGAGGGATGTGCAGCCGGTCAGATGACCCCAGCCTTTGTAAAGCCCATGTTTATATTTCCTTGCACCTATGCTCCCTCACATGTGGCTCCAGTACATCCCACCATGCTTCATGCCGACATGCTCTGCAGTTCCTTCCCAAGATTTGTAGAGACTTTGCCAGGTTTTTGGAGGGATCTGATGGAAAGGCCCTGAGATGCTCTGGGCTACTCTTACCATCTAGCTCCCATCATTTCCCAGTGCAAACGAGTCCCTGCCTAAGCTGACTCCAGCAGTTCATCATGTGGCCTCTTCATGGCTCTGTATCACCATCCCAGAGCCCACTCCAGGGGCTTCATCATCCAGCCACGCCATCTCACTCTACTTAAGCACACCAGCAATTGTCAGTCTCGCTCAGTTCTCTCTGGCCCCAGCCTGACCTCATTTATGCTTGTGCATTTCCAGCTTTAATTTTGCTGCTTTTGACAGCAAAGCAGCCCTGCAAGAACCCTGGGATTTCAGGCATCATAGTCAGGCCTTGGGATGCAGAGGCAGTGCTCTGTGCAGCGCCCAAGGAGAGGTGTTACCAGCCCACACTGCAAGACTGCTGCTCATGGGATTGGTGTCTGCCCTTCAAATCAGCCTCATAATTGCTCTCTTCCTAAAAGATTACTGAAGAGTTAACCATGCAGCTAAAATGTTGCTCAGGAAAAATATCAGAGTAGTGACTGGAGGAGTATTTCTGACTGTCTTCTGTCATTTGCCATTTATTCTTTCTGTCAGCTACTGACAAGCCTGCATTTCTCATCTCAGCTTTCCACGTCAGTGCTCTGCTGTCACATTTTCTGTCCCTTCCTGGAAGAAAGGCCTTGCCGCTAGCTCAGAAGTGGGTCTGGCCAGTCCTGACCCCTGTCTCGGCCAGCCCAGCAGGGTCTGGGAGTGGTAGGAGACCCCCACCTGGAACAGTTTCCGATGTTCTTTTCCCAGATGTTTGTTCTTTGTCAGTTAATTTTTTACCTGCAGTATGACATCAGTAATGCCTTTTGGCAAGGAGTTCTGTAAGTTGGCTGTGTGATGTCCATCCTAATGCTGCAGGGCAGCAGGGCTGAGGCCACCAAAGCAACCTCATGGGAGGAACCATGGCCGTGCACGCAGTCCAGTGGGGAGGCAGCCATCCGGCCTTCTTCCCTACTCTTTGCACATACTTTGGGGAGCTGTGGGTTCATGTCCTGCATGTGTCTTGTGGGGGTGGGATGGTCAGATTCTGCTTTGGCAGCTCCTCAATCAGAAGCTGCTCTCTAAGATACCTGGCTGTGCTTGTTTGTTCTCTGGGGACAGCAGGGACACGATGCAGTGTTACCACCTGGAGCTCCTGCTATAGCTTTAGCTTCTTGTCGCCGGAACAGAGGAGAACTGCCTGCTGGGAAGGCTGCCCAGGCTGTGGAGGAATGTGAGGACCACTGCAGTCAAGGGCACCCACGCACATCCTCTGGTTAGCACAAAGGCAGGCATTTTCTTGGCTCAGGGAGAGCCTGCAAGTATCGTTTGAGTAATTTGTTCCTCTGACTTGTCAGCACCAGCTTCCATTTGCCATCATGCTGCTTAAATCCTTCTGAGCCCCTCTTAGGTTTCTCCACTGTTGGTCAGCCAGCAGCATTTGATGTTATTCTTAACCATCTCCAATTGCTCTGTTCCTGCCTTCCCAAACCTGTGTTCTGGCAGTGGCCCTAGCACAGCCTGCTACATCTGCTCTTTACCTTTTTACATGAGACAGATAAAAGCTTATGATTTCGTCTTCTCTTTATTGTCTATCATGAGTTGCTGCTCAATCTGTGACAAGTTAGTGTCTTCCATAGCTTTATGTTGCGGGTTCTGTACAAAGCTCTTTGAAATGCCAGTTATCTCATACCTACCTGAAGTGTTATTCCATGTTTTTTATTATACCCTTGACTAATTAAAGTGGATGAGGAAGGCATGACTGTGCCACAGTGCAGCACTCCTGGTTCTGCTTTGTGATTTTTTTTTTTTCTGTAGGTCCAGCATTTCTTCTGCTCTGAATAAGGCTGGCAGTCTTAAATCACTATGCACTACCCCAGCCCTCCCAGGCAGCACCTGCAAGGGATGGGAGCTTTGCTGAGCTTTTGCAATACCTCTAATGTCCTGGCCACCCAAAGACTTAGCATCCTTTGCAAGAGTCTTTGTAGACAGATGAGCAAGGCCAGATCAGATATTTTGTTTCAGGAATGTCTCCTTTGAGTCCTCCACCTCTGCTGGGGCCTCATCTTCAGTGTGTGACATGAGACAGCATATGGCAGGCATTGCCCTCATGTTCTTCGTGCTGAAGGCTGTGCAAGGGTTGAGAAAGGGCCTCAGGCCTCAGGCCCTCCACAGTCAGGGGAGTGTCCCATTCCCCCTTTTTACAGATGAACTGTTTCTGACAGAGCTAGGAATATCACCCTGTGATAAGAGAAACCCAAGACATCACCTCCAGCTTTCCTAAAGATACATGCCAAATCACGGCCAGAGCTACTTCACAGAGCTCCTAACACTGATCAGTCACTTTCCATGGGCCTCCACTGTCCCTTGCCTGGCATGGGGCTGTGTTGGACTTGGGACCCCTGTCCAAGTCATGGACAAGCGGTTATGTGTGTCCTGCTGGAGTGTCCTGCTACAGTGAGGCAAAGCTGGCCACAGCAAAGCACAGGATTTCCTATCTCATTTTATTGACATCTCCAGGCATTTCTTGTAACCTCCTGCACCAGCCCAGAAAGTTTCTAAATCATTTTATGAAACTGCTTGTTCCTGTTAGGAATGAGCAACATTAGCCTCAGGCTGAACACTTTTGATGCACATACAGCTTATTAGAGAACCTCCTCCATTTGCCAGTTGTTCTGCCATGCATTTGTGTTCTGAGTTCATCCCCAGCCTGTGGCCAGACCTTCAAAAATGCTTCATTCCCTGAGAAACAAACTTCCCCAGGTGTTTTGCCCATCATATATAGCTTTTGCCAACGTGCCCAGGTATTTTCTGGGTTGTTCGTCTCCTGTAGATGCCCCCTCTGTTCACACACAAGATGTGGTGCCTGCAGGCCCTGAGCTTTACGCAACCCCCTGAGTTCTCCACCAGGTCCTGCTCAGCAGGAACAAAACTCTGTTTTGTTCATGCCTTGGCTTTCTGTCTGCACCTCAACCGGTGAACTAGCTGGACCCATACAGCAGCGCCCATTGTGCTCCCCTTGCTCTCAACACAGGTTTCCTTCCTTTACATCCAAGAATCCTTCTAGACTTCGAGCTATGGCATTGCACTACACAATATATTTATTTTAGTTCCCTAATGCCTTAAGCTGTTGTTAAAAATCATTGCTTCTCAGGGGGTGTTTTCCCAGACTTTAAGTATGACTTGGACCCTTTGTCCATAAATGTCTAATTGTGCTTTCAGTTTTGTTACAAGCAAGCTGCTTGTGTGAGCACTGCTTTTTAATGCATTGGAGTTTACTGGACATTTGTGACCAATAGTCTCCAGACCAGTCTTTTTGGTGCCAGTTCTAAGGTAACTTGAGGCAGTTAGGATTGCTAGTTGTTGTTGAATATCTTCCCTAATGCAGTAGAGATTATTTCCTTGCCAATGCAATCTCTGGATGCTTAGTCCAGACATTCCCAAATACAGATGTGTAGACCTTTCTGCTAGTTCATCATCCTTGATTAGCTCACCATCCTTCCATCCTTAGCCAATAACAGAGTGCAACACTTACCGCAGGATGCATTTTTTTTTCCATATCTGATTAGATTTCTTGTGAAATCTGCTTAGCATAGATTTTTTTTTTTCCCACTGATAAGGTAAGAACAGGAGAAAGGCTGGCCTGAGATGGGGCACAGGGCCACGCTATGGTATCTTCAGTGCTCGCCAGTCACAGATACTCAGGGAAGAGTCTGAGAAACAGGCCACATATGCATTATCCTGGGCTGTACTCACAGCTTAGGACCTGTCTTGAGATACAGATTGTGTCTTTGTGCTTAGAAGCCCCTGATGGACTTCTCCCTGTCATGAATTGCTCTAATCATGTTTTGAGTCCCTTTAACTTCTCAGCATCCTGTGGCAATGAGCTCCACAGCTTAATTTTGGCTTTTATTAAAAAAAGAAGAAGAATCTTCTTTCTATTGTGTTTTCATGTCACTTGACAGTCCCAGGCCCTTAAGGTCCACATTTAAAATATTCTTTCTCAGTATTTGCTGTAGACTACCCAGACACAGGCTACTTCAGCAGCTGGTCTGTCTGAGACCTTTTCTGGGCAGAGTAGGAGTCTGAGGATCATAATCCGCCCAGGTCCCCAGGGAGAGAGCTGGCAGGCCTGCCAGTGAGCACAGCAGGGAGGTGGGTGCCAGAGGGAGACGCAGCTGGGTGCGCTCCCTCCCTCATGGGCTGCATGTGCCCCGGTGCTGGTTCAGCGCGGCACAGCAAATCCCTCCCTCCTGCTTCTCCTGCCCTTCTGCCACTTCAGGCCAGGCCAGCATCAGCCTTGCAGGTCAAACCAGACTCCTGCATTCCCCAGGATGATTTGCACAGCTACTGACCTACCCCCCCTGCATGATCCAGCACCCCAGCGCTTCCCTGCTTGCTCACCCTGAAAGTGGCTTCTGCAGGGGAGGTAGCAGGGTGGAGGGCATGAGAGAGGGGCTTGACACATGGCATGCATACACTCTGGGGCCCTGGCACGTGCTGTCCCCTCCGCAGGCGTCCCCACAGTCCAGTCAGGGATTTTTAAGTAAGCAATAATTACACAGATTAAAATGCAGCCTTGTACCCCTGATGGAGCACAGGGTGTAGTGCAGCGGGAGAGAATGCGCAAGGAGCTGATTGCTGTTTCAGAGGGCACGCAGGGAGGGTAACTGCCCTGTCTCCATCACAGTGATGGAGGAGCTGGTGCAACAGGCTACACTCCCTCCCTATGCAGCAGATACTCTGCGTATCCTCATAGCTCCTACATGGGTGAATGGGAGCTCTCGCCTTGGAAATAAAGGCCACTTATCCAACCTGGCAGTGCTGCACTTTATTTCCCTGCTTGGTCCCTTGCCCAAACTCTGTGTCCCACTGTTTTCCTGCCAGAGGGGTTGGGGATCAGACTGGATCTTGCACAAAGGTGTTCTCAGCCAAAACCCACTCAGTGAGGGACACAGTAGCCCGCTACAATGCAGGGCAAGGTTAGGTGTGATGTCGCCATCATAAGGCACTGCAAGCAGAAGGCAAAGAATACTGGATTGAACCACTAGAGTTAAACAATCAGTTTTTGTATATCAGCCCCAGCATCTGGGGCTGCCTGCAAGAATCCTCACATCAGAAACCTGCCATCTTGCACAGACAGCAACTCAATGACTAGCACATCCCATAGAGACAATGCTTTTGGGGGAACAAGTTAGCATCTGGCAGAGATGTTAGAAAAGAGGGACCTTTTCCCTCTTCATCATCAGAGGCACCAGGAAAACCAATGAACTTATTTGTTAGCTGGTTAAACAATGCCCTTGAAGGATTTGTGAGGTTACAGGGGCAGCACATGCCAGTTCCACGCACTAGCCTTAGTGGCAGTACTGCTAGGGCCTCCTCACTCCCACTGCTTCCCGCTCTAGCCTGTCAGGTGCATAAATCTCAACAACCCCTAACCAAATTTATTAGCTGTTATCCATATTACCTTTTGGCCTGGAGGCCACTCTGGATAGGGAACAGTAGGAATTCAGCTTGAGCACTTTTCTATGGACACCTGGTCTGTGGAAGGTTATGGGCTGTGGTCATTAAGGAATAAACCCCTGAGAGATGCTGCAAAAGTTCCCTTGGGCTGTCCTTGCTCGGGGCAGTCACATCAGCGCAGCACACACACCCCATTCCTTCTAGCACCAGCCACCATAGCACAGACGGGCTGGTCACCACAGGGCTAGCTCCGCCTGTGGCAGTTAAATCAGCTGGCAAGAGAAGGATGTCTGGGATGGACACTGGGTGCCCAAAAGCAGCCATATGTGTGCTGGCAGCATGAACTTTGTGTTCCAGCCTTGCCAGACCTGTCCCCACAGATTTGCGGTGCCCAAAGCCAACAGCCACAAAGGGGTGAAGGGGGGAATGTCTGTTGCCAAAGGCTTCCCAGCCCCTGCATGTTCCTCCCACTTCACAGAGTCTTATCTGTTAGGAGCCAATGGCTGGGTGGCCCCACGCATTAGCCCATCTTGTCATTTAATTAATTACCTTCTGGCTAATCCCATCTGAGCCAGACTGGGAGTGAGCAGGGCTCAGCTGCTAACCATGGCTGCACACACTCCTCTGCCCACCAACATCCGCTGGGGCTTGATGACTTTCAGCAGCTCCCTGTTCATCAACAACAAGACCCAAGACAGTGGATCTGCCCGGATCTACCATCCAGGTATAGTGGCAGAAGAAGGTTTGGCTGCAGGGGACTATTTATTTTTTTGCTGTTGCTTCATCACTGCAAGCCTGCTTGGCTCAAAAAAGCAGCCAGGTGCCTCCAAGCCATGGGAGATGGGTTCCCTGCACCCACCCAGTGATGGGTGAGAGCAAAAAATAAATGCATTTGCTGCAAATAATAGCAGTTCTTGCAAGTTGCAAGGACTTCCCCAGGTGTCCCCTGTGCTGGCTTTGGGCCCTGCCAGGCTGCCCTTCAGCCAAAGCTCCTCCAGAGCTGCTGCAGCCTTGCCAGCATGGCTGGGGCCATCTCTCTTCCCCTGGCAAGCTGCAAGGCAGGGTCTCCCTGTGGAGAGTGAGGCCTTGGGCAGTGCCGGGGAGATCTGCCCACCCCTGCCTTCCCCCTGCCTAGCCCGCGAGATGCTGGCCAGCCTGCCCCTCCAGATGATGCTGTACTTTAATGTCTGCTACTTCCCGTTCTGGTGCCTGGCTGAGGGGACGATGCTCCAACTGAAGGTACATTTTGTGGGGCTCGGGGTGGGGAGAGTCCTGCTGGGGCAGGACAGGCAAGCCTCCTCCTCCTCTACCTTGCAGGGCAGTGCAGAGGGGCTGGACCAAAAGGGCCACATTAAACAGGGGAGTGGGAGACCATTTTTCAAAAGTAACAAGTTCCCATATGCACACTTAAAATCATGACCAAAGTAGCCCATTTTCCATAACATAGAAGACCTCCCACTCAGAGAAATGGAAATCCCTGCACACAGGAACAACCTCTTTCAACTTTCCATGCAGGGAAAGTTAAACTGGGAGGCCAGGGCAGAGCAGAGCCTTCAGGGCTGGGCACTAACACAAAGCAGTAGCATGGGAGTGCAGAGCACAGGGTGCAGCAGTTGGGGCTGGCTGGGACAAGGTTGTGCTCTCTCATTTGTCTCCCTGTTGCAGTACAGCCTGCTGCCCCAGTACTACCAGCTGCTCCTGGTTGCTGCTTTCCTCATCCTCTCATTGGCTGAGGGCTTCCGCCTCTATCTGGGCTATACAGGGAACCTACAGGAGAAGGTAAGAGTCAGTTCCATGCTGATCCAGGCCGTTCCCTGGGCTCAGTGCGATGGGTGATGGCCAGCACAGGATAGCCGTGCTGGGGGGAGAAGCTGTGGCTGCTCTGTAGGTACCCTTTGCCTGGGCTTATGCTACTGTCACCTTCAGTCCCTCCTTGGGACCTGCCTGGAGGTCTCCAAGGAGGGAAACACAGATGCTCTCAGGACCTGGAGGCAGTGGATAAAGGGGACCAGCTCACCCTTCTGCTTTACCTCTCCCTATGCGCTGAGTGCACCACCCTCCAGTGCTGGGCTTTGCAGCACCTGACCTCGCTGGAGCATAGCTCCTAGGTGAGGGTGGACAGCCCTGGGATGGATGCTGAGTCTGGCAGAACATCTCATCCAGGGACTGCAGCAGGGTATTCCTGGGGCTACTAGCCCCTTCCTGTCTCTACCACAGCCCCCATACAGAGGAGCTCCCTCTTTGCCTCCCAGTCTGGCATCTGTAGCAGGGACAATATGTTGCTGGATACTCCACTGCATAGCCAATATGTGGGACAGTTTCCTGGCTCATTGGGTTGGAAAACAGACCTCAAGAGGGGCTCAGCCCTACACAGGTGGAGCAGGGCTTGGTTACATTGCAAAGCACATCAGACAGACTAGACTCCACAGTGAGCAGGTGCTGGCCACTTATGCAGGCCTTGCTGCCTCTCAGCAGCAGAGCGAGGGCCTTGGCAGAGCAGCTGAAGCCAGCCCAGGTAGCCTCTGCTGCCAGGCCCATGTCCCATTTTCCAGACAGTGCTCAGTACCCTGCCTCACCCTTCCATTTCCTGAGCCAGGGTTCCTGGGGTGGTGCCCAAATGGAGGGCGTTTGGGGCCTCCCTTCAGCAACCTCTGCTTACACAGGTGCCTGAGCTCGCTGGGTTCCTCCTTCTCTCGTTCCTAATCCAGCTCCCCCTCCTGCTTTTCCTGCTCATGGACAACAATATCATCCGACTGCCCCTGGAGACAGCTGTCCACATCCTTTACCTAGCATTCCTGGTCTCAGAGATCCCAGCATCCTTCTTTGCGCTGAAGGCAATGACCAAGCAGCTTGCAACACAGTTCTATCTGCAGCAGTTCAAGGATGGAGACAGGCCACAACATCCGAGGCAGAAAGGAGGAGGAGGCCAGGAGGTCAAGGATGATACTCCAGGAACAGTCCTTCTGTAGGACAAGGCAGAGTCTCCCTGCTAAGGCAGCCTCAGCAGCTCAGGGACCTTTCAGGAGCAAGGATCATTAAACGGTGTTCTGTGATCTCTGGAGCGTTTCCATGTACTGTCTTTTCCAACAGGGCAGCTCTGGGACGTGTGGGTTTCCCTGAACACAGGCTGAAAATCACAAGTGCAAGCTCTGACCTGGCTTGTTCCTGTCCTGCTTTGTACCAGGGTGCTCAGCACCCTGAGTTGCTGATTTGATGCCCACATATGTCTGTGGGGGCAGATCAGCCTGGGTGCTCAGTATGCAGGGGGAGCCGAGCCATTCTTCCACAGCAGGACACCCGCTGCTGTGGCAAGTGCCAGTGAGTACAGGTAGTTAAGAGCCTCTGAGGTGCTCAAGCTCTCCTGGGGGCTGTGCTTGTCCTCAATGAGCAGGGATCCTGGCAGGATGTAGGAACCAAGCCAGGGTAGGAGGCACTAGGCGCCTTGCTGCAAAGAAGTACCAGCCCAGGGCCACTACCTGAAGCTCAGCTCTCAAACCCAGTCTGAGCAGAGCATGGGATCAGACCCAGAGGCTGTTGGGGGCAGGGGGCATGCCTGAGCACATGGAGTTAAAATCAAAAGCAAAGATTGCAAGTGCTGTTGCAATCCAAGCAAGGGAAATATCCACCATACAGCCAGCTAGAGACACACTAGCTGAACTAACAATGCCAGTTGCTGCACCCCAGCACCCGTGATGCCATGGAGTACCTGGCCCTGCCTGCTGAGGTGGGGGCAAATGCTTTGAATTGTCTCAGGGATGTTCCCGGCCTTAGTGGTCTATGAAAGGCTACAAGGGCTCAGGCTGTGCTGCCCAGGGAGCTCCCAAGCAGCTTGGTGGCTCACATGAAGCTCTGCAATGTGCCATCCAACTGGAAGCTGTGGACTGCCATGTGCATGGTGCTGCATGGTTAAACATGTTTCTGCCTAGCTCAGGCCACACTGAACGTCTGCACGTTAGGGACAAGCACGGAGAGGATTTAGCAGAGAGCAGAGCCTGTAGGGACTGGAGCAGCAGGACGGTACAAGGTGGCGAGGGCAGCCCATTGCTTTCTGGACTCTTGGTATTGAGTGTCCTTTCTGTATGCTACTAGACAAAGGACGTGGGGACCCAAAGGAAAGAGCAGTGCCGCAAAACCTTCAAACAGCCACCTGCAAGACTGGAGACAGAGCAGAGCTACCTCCCCCTCTCTGAGCAGCTTTATTTCATTTCATTGCTCTTTTTCATGTGAAATCAAATCCCCAGGGCAATCTAGAAAGTGAAGAAGCACAAAGCACTTCAAGCCTTTTTTGTTGAACATGGACAAGCCACTTTACAGCAAACTCCAGCTCATACAGCAGCTCTGCAGCATGGCTGCACTCGGGCACTGGCCAGTCTGTTCTGGGAGCTGCAGGGCTTTGGGTTGTGCTAGGGGATGACAGGTGAGGGCTTTCCAAGTGGGATGGTTTTGTGCTCCATTTGCCAAGAACCGCTGATACAAGTATTTCTCAAGGAAGGGCAGATCTCAACGCCAGCAGTGCACACCTGATCAGGCCAGGAGATCTAGCAGTCACCTCCACCTGGGCCTCAGCTGTGCTCCCATCACATCTATTTGGAGGTCAACTCTAGATGGAACGGTGTTTGTTGATGAAAATTCCCGATGTCCTGGCCAAACCATCGTGGCTATGCTGCGGCCTCTGCCTTACCTTTTGGGGGTTTTGCCTGCAAAGTGAACACGGGCATTGGTTAGTCTGTTCAGCATACTAGAGACTAGTGGATGGCTTGGTCGGACGGTCCGTGATGACAAGGCAGTATCTGCACACTGTGGTACAGCCTGTTCGGCTCTGCTCAGTCCCATGCAAATAGGTCTATTGCTTGAGCCTCTGAATTGATTTGTGATTTGAGATTCAGGCAGTACATCAGAAGAAACTTTCTTCCCTAATATCATGGTGGAGCCCTGGGATAGGTCACCAGGGATCTCTGTCCTTGGAGGTTTCTAAAACTTGACTAGATAAAGCCGAAGGTAAGCTACGGTTGGCAGTAGTCCTGCTCTGACAGGGGAGGTTGCATGACAGACCTCTGAAAGGGCCTTCCAATGCACACTTCTATAATTCTGCAATTCACCTGGGCTGGGCAGTACCAAAGCAAGCATCGCATATGCCAGCAGAACATGATGCTGAACTAGAATGGGAACACTGACAAAGCTCCAGTATGTAGTCTTAAACGGTTGCTGTTTTTTGACCCAGAGTTCAGTCAGATTCAGTCCTAAGAGGGTGAATTTTATTGAAAAGCTGGTACAGGCAAGAAACAGTTTCAAAATAGTGAGTTACCCCTGCGCAGGAGACTCAGGGAAGCCTTGTTCCCTTTCAGTTAGAGCTCAAGGGGCTATGACCATGTGGACTCCCTGTTGCATAAAAGTAATTGAGATCCTGCAGCTTTTTCCTTAAACTGGACCACATCTAGGTCTCTCTCTTCCACTCACTCATCTGTTGTCATTAAGCTTGTAAGAGTTTAATCTCTATGTCAGGTTCAGTTAACCTAGCTACTGAGTCCAAAACGTTAGAGGGAGGAGAGATTCAGTACCAGTCTACCTGCGTTTTCTCAGATGAGAGCTCTTGGGAACTGAGTTTTAAACAAAAGGCAGAATAATCAAATCACCTCACAAAACTTCACTTCAACCTCAGCTTTCTAAACTGGTCTTGCAGTTGTCCTTACCTCCTCAAACTTCTCCTTCCGATAGAAGTCCGCCTTTGAATCCAGGTACAGCAGAACCAGGTCACAGACCACTGTGGCCTAGAGATGGACAAACGCAACATGGCAGTCAGGAGTGAACTCAGGCAGTGGTGAGACTCAGTGCATGAGAGCCAGGATCTCTGTTCACATCACCCATCCAACCTGTTCAGCCTGCCATCTCAAGTTCACTCCATCCTGGGACCAAACTCCATCATCTGGTCACTGCAAGGGAGGAGCTTTCTACCTTTTCTTGCCAGCCTGGGCCCCCCAGGCAGCCCCACCAGGCCCTCCCAGTAGCCGCATGTCTAGCATGAGATGTTAGACACGAACATCTGAGCTGCAACGCATGGACTAAAGGTCCAGGCTGGTGTAGTGGAGTGCCACTGCCACAGCCACACAAGGGAGGGGAACAAGCAGTTGTATGGGATGCCACGTCTGGTAGGAAAGAGGTGGCAGATGGTGGAGCCCAAGCAACCCCCGTCATTCTGCAGAAGGAGAAGGGACATGACAGTGTGCGAGACAGGTGCTTTAGAAGGGACTCACCCTTCTCAATGATTGCAATGCCAGTGTCCATGCTGGAGCCAGTCACTGGCTCCCTTTAGAGTCAGGGGAGAAAAAGGCAATTAGAGGACATGTCTTCTCCTGCTGGGGGACACAGTGGAAGCAGACCAACCAGCAGCACCCTGACAGTGCTCACTTGTCTCCCCTGACTATACAGCAAATGCATGGCAACCAAAGGGTCAACATAGACACCTGGCCTGCATCATATGTGTCCCCGACAGTTCTTGAGATCCCTGTACTGGTAGTGCCGTTACTGCTAATGATCACAAACGGGAGCTAACACTCTTGCCAAACAATCTCCTCTCCTGGGCTGGCAGGTACCCAATTGGCTGTGAAAAAAGAAGCCGTGCACAGCAGGCCAGTAAGGGGAAATGCTTTATGAGTGGCAAGTCCCAATCCATAGATCAGAGGAAAAGAACACATCCAGAGTACTCACAGCACCAAGGAGCGCGATGCTGGCGCCGAGGCTCACGGCAGCAGGAATTATACTGAACTTCCCAGCCTGCTGAAAAACAGTGGGTGAAGGGGAGAGATAGCGGGCAGGTAGCAGTGAGAGGGTTGTGACAAAAGCCCTGCTGGGCAGCATGTTTAAAGCCTGCTGTCATGGGCAAAGGGGAGGTGCTGGATGAAACAAGGGTCATTTCTTTGTGCTCAGTTTTAGGTGCTTGACTGCTACTGCCTTTATCCTTCAAAGAAGGAATTCAGGCAGCTCACAGCTCAGTGACAGCTGAGGCCACATACAACCTTCCTATTCCTACAGGCACATCTGGAGACTCTGTCTCACCTCAAGGCTCCAGGAGTTGCCAACCATAGAACTACAATCTACAGAAGAGCAAACATATCCCTCTCTGGTGTGATATGCTTCCTCACTACCCAAATGAGTCTGGTGTGAAAGGAGAGACATCTGGTTTCCTGGCTCTCTCCTGCTACTCTCTCCTGCTTCATATCTTCCCCCTCATCTTACCACCCAGAAGCGTGCACCCTGTCTTGCACTCCATGCTCATCTCTCTTCATGTGAAAAGGCCACTGGTGGACTAGCTATGGAACACCTCTGGGGGTGACAAGTCCTCTCAGTGCAGGCCCGATCTTGCACAGCTCATCAGTGATGCTGCACACAGTAGCACCAGCCATGATCATGTCCATGCCTTTCTCCTCAAAGGTACAATTAATCAAGAAGGGATTAATTGTTCAAGTTCAGAAAAGTTCAGGTTGATCTTCTTCAGCATGTTCCCAGCCATCATAGGCTTCCCTCAGAGATGCCCTAAGCCCCTCTGACTGGACTAGCTTAGCTCACTTTACTTCCAGGGTCTAGCATCGCATAATACCCGACCATGTCCGATGCTCAACAAACAAGCTCAGGGCTTTCATTTCAAATGGGAGAGACCATTTCTTCCTGTTCTCTTTGGTGCCCTTGATCTGCTCTGAGGAAAGCAAAACTCTGGAAAGAGGTGAGGAGTTCATCAGGGTAAGGAAAAAAGATGCCAGAGAAAGGCGATGAGACTGACCTCAGGAGATAGCACAGCAGTGAGCAGGTGTGAGGAACAAGTTCTGATAACAAGAGGGACAGGACTGTGCATGCAGGGTCTTCATAGAAGACAGTACCTGGCCATGCACAGAGATGTCAAAGCGGATGCCGTAGAGCTTCAGCAGGCTCCGGTAGTGCCTTTTTTGGGGATCCCAGTAGTAGGAGGCAGTTCTAAGGGAGACACAAAGGACAAGACTCAAAAACATGCTGCAGCTCTGTGCAGGCAGGGTGAGGGACAAGGGCCTGGGAAGGCTAACAGCCTGAAGAAGGCCTGCCAGGGAAATATGACTGCTGGGGATACCAGATGGCTGTGCACACTTCATTTCTTCCAGTAGGCAGGGATGTGGAGGATGCACATGCTGCCACAACTCACTAGCTGGGTACCAGCAGCAGGGCCTCAGGAGCTGCTCAGCAGCAAAGGCCAGGGTAAGAGGCTCTGCATGCAGCCCCCAGTGCATCCAGTTCAGGATGAGGATGGGCATGGCCAGCCACACATCCCTGCCCTCATGCACGTAACACCCTGCACAACTCCAAAGAGAGCAGAGTTACAAGGTGCTGGAGCTACCATGGCATCTGGGTACTGAGAGACTCCACATCAGAGTTACCATGTCCTATTGGCCCTGCTGCTCCTTTCAGAGCATCATATTTCATTTAGGAGAACTGAGATCTCAAATGATCTCTGTGAGTGCCTATCCCACGGACCTGTGTGGCTACTGTCCCAGCATCGCTGGTGTCCGTACCTGAAATTGTAGTTCCTGTCCTGCAGGCTGAAGGAGTACTGAGGCTGGCACTGGGCAGCAGGGTGATCCAGGTCACAGTCCCACTTGATGTAAACTGCAATGCTCCCCCCCTGCAGCACATTAACATACATTTTATTGGAGGAGAAACACTGGATTGGAGATTTGTTGGGTTCTTCATTGTTCAAGTGTTCACAGCTACTGACTTGGATAGATTGGGCCTTTCCCTTAGTATTTCAGGGGACAATCCCACCCTGTCCCTGTCCATGCCCTAGGGGAAGTTGCAGTCACCTTTCATACTTCAAAAGGAAAAGCATATACCAGCAATGCAAGATTCCCAAAGGTCTCTCCAGTTGCCTCCACCATGTCATGGATACGGAAGACTGGGCAGGATGGGTTGAAAAATGGATCGTACGTGCAGCTCTTGAAATAGGTGGGGTCACTGGTTTGCAAAGTGTTGCACCTGAAACAGGAGAGAGCGAGCTGTCACAAGTACTGGAGGACATGGGAGGTCACTGGACCCTACTGCATGACTGAAAAGGATACCCTCCCGCTACTCCCATGATCCCCAAGCAGTAGGGCCACTATTGCTCCTGCTGAGAAGAGACAGTCATTGTCTCTCCTATTGTCCCTACGGAACGGGACCACATGGGGTGCAGAGCTACACAGGCCTGTGTCAACATCTGGTCATCTTCTTCTAGACCTGGCTGCATCAGGGCTTGGACTATCCCTTCTTTCCCAGGCTCCGTTGCTCTGCCTTCCAGATCTACCTTTCCTCCAGGACACCCAGCAACCCAAGGACATGCATTTAGTACAACTGTCCTCTGGTCCTCAGGCTGTATGAGGATGGAAGTTAGTCCAGAAAAATCACAAATGGAGTCATCAACCTTTTCAGCACCTACCAGTACAGCCTGCCACGCTCCTTTCTCTCCCAGTTCCTCTGCCTTTGTGCTTCATCTTTCTTCTGCCTGCATCTCCTTCCCACAGCATCAGTCGCTGCTGTGAGACATAATGACCCAGCTCTAAAGTTACTGCTCTAGGGGAGACAGCAGGAGGAGTTCAGGTTCCCTAGGTCCTGTCTCCTGCCAGAGAAAGGCAGCTCAGTCAGCATGCCTGGGGCCACGACAGCAGGGTAGCCCTTTACTTGCCCTCTGTGAAAATGTTTGCACCCCTTCCCTCCCTCCTTTCTACTTGCACCCCACTCCAGGCACCAACTCTCTCTACCTCCAAAATCTTCTTGGGGCCTTTGCCCCAAGGAAGAGCTGCTGTGCCACCAAGGGGGTAAGCTATGCAGTGCACTGCTAGAGATGGTGAAGAGTACAGTACCTCAGGCTATACTCAAGCCAGGCTAAATCCTCACATTCAGATAACTTGTAAAATCACACTCTTCAAGGCTCCCTCAGCAACACAAGGACATGTAAAAAGATGCAGAAATGTACAGGGTAAAATGAAGCCTTGGGAATCACTGGCTTTGTCCTGCTCTGTTTGTAGTACTCTAGACAGGTGGGAACACAGAAATCACTCTCTCTGGGAATTCCACAGTGCTGTCGCTGTTACACCTACAAACACAGCCAAAGAGACCATGTTCTCCGTGAATGCATCATCTGGAATCTTAACTGACAGCCACTGGCTCTCCTTGATGGGATACTGCTTCTTGCATGTCTAGGCTACTCAGCATCTAAGTAGACAAGCTCAGCACAGATGCTGGGCTAGGCTGCACATAGAGTTCCAGCAGGAGAAGCTTCATACTTACTTGGAGAAGTTAAATTTGGTGAAGTTCACAGTATTTTTTATAAAAAGAGTAAAATTCTCCGCCTCAGCCAGAAGAGGTTTCCTGGAAAACAACCACTGATGAATTAAAATATTTGTACAGTGGCCAAGGTATAGCCCATTCCCCTGCTCTGCAATCTTTTCCATGACTCTAGGACTTAAACTACTGTGGACAGTTGCAAGAAATGCTCTTACCTGAAGTTCTGTGGGCTTAACTGACTGGTAGGTTAACGTCAAAGTCAAAGATCTCCCTGAGTCTGGCTGCCCCCCACCAGCAAGTAGAATCAGGACATTGATTACAAAAAACACAAAGTGAACCAACAACTCCACCGCCGTTCAGAGCCTGCTTGGATGCCTGCTGTCCTCTGACCCTATGCAATACCTGGGTACGGTGTCATTCTCCACAGGACACCAGCTGTAGATCTCACAGGTAGAATGGGTAGTATTGAACATCACACATTTCCCAGTTTTTATCCCTGGAAAAGAGACAATGCATCTCATTTACTCCTTTTACCTTCTGAATGTCTTCCCTCTAGCTCCCCTCCTGGGATAATGCCCTGGCCATGGTCCTGCTGCTCTGGCCTTCTCAGAAAGCACAAGGACGACCCTGGGATCATCTTTAGTTCCCCTCCCCCCCCTCCCCCCCCAAAAAAAAAACTACTCTGGGAAACTCTCCCCCGAGGCCAAACAACGTAGCTGTTTTACAAAGACAAGAAGCTACTTGTGGCTATGGTCTCTCAGATGGCTCAGCACCTGTCTGTCCAGCACAGCCACTCCTGGCTGGTGGCTGCTGAAGCCACCTACTCCCTGATCGGAAATATAACAAGCTGGGGGAATCTGACATACCAAGCTTTGGCAACTGACCTTCTAAAGCTTAAATATCCTTCTCCAGCTAAACTTACATGAGTTTCTAATATTAATCAGTGTGAAATATCTCTAGGTTTTATTAAAAAAGGAAAACCTGTCAACTGCAAAGCACATTGGTTGGATTTCAGCAACCGACATCAAAAATGGCCAACCTCTTTATTTGCTGCTGACAGCACCTTTTGCCATCAGTACCAGCTTTCCCTGCAGTGACAGGTTGCTTTAAGTTTTTGTCAAGAATAATCTCTAGAGAGCACTTCAGCGCGCACTTATAAATATACTGAACTCTGTCAGTTTAGGCATCTCTGTGTATCTGTTTGCTAGCAAGCATGTGGACACAAAATGATTTTTTTTTTAGTAAAACATCCAGTACCATTGCCATGAACCACTGGGTCTCCTATGGGACAGTCTGCATCTTCTCTGCAAATCCCATCTAAAACAGAGGGGCTCTAACAGAGAGAAAAGAGAGAGCAAGGGACAGAGGGAGCAGGGGGGCATGGGGAGGAGACAGAGAGAGAGAGAAGTGCTGTTACTCTGCTGCATAACAGCTTAAAGGCCATTAGGTCATTTACCCACATTTCTGTGCTCTTGCTCCTATCTCTCCATGCATGTCCCAGTCCCTTACATTAGGCACCCATCATGTTCAAAATAGCACCTTGGGCAACTTCCAGTCAGTTGCAGAGAGGCATCTCCAAAGGGCAGTCCCTTTCACATGTCTCCAGTCTTTCTGGAGTGCTCACCTCCAGTCTGTCAGCAGCAAAGAAAGCCTCAGCAGCTAGCTAAGATCAAACCTTTCAGCTGGCAACAAATGTGGTTGGGTTCTGGAGGACCTTAATGGGCAAAGCCCATCACACCTTGTAAAGCACCACCACAGTTCCCCTGACGAAGGGCTGAAAAGTCACTGGATACAGCATAACACAAGCTTTAAAGGAGAAACTGAAAACTTCACCCTTACTCTGTGGGCCATGCATAGCTGGCAGGACCCACAGCAGGGCTGTAAGAAACACTTATTCATGACAGCAGTTCCTCTTCCTGTATCATATTCAGATGTCAAGGATTCAGCCTTCAGAAGGACCCAGAAAACAGACATTTGCAGATGAGTGCAGCAGTCCCTTCCCAAGCGCAGATAATAAGAAACATGCTGAATAACAGTGCTGCTTGTCAGACACAGACACTTCCGGGTGTTCAGGTCATGCAAGCTGCAAACCTTAGTAGAAATTCTTGTTTGGAACCCTATGACAGTGCCAGAGAAAGCCTAAAGCACAGCCAAGATGGTTTCAACACCCCTGCCCTACTACCTCTTAGTGGAAACAAGCCTCGAAAATCTGCCTGTGCTGACATTCTCCACAGGCATGATCGGAGCTAGGTTACACAAGCCATGAGTCCACTGTGAGAGAAACAAAGAGATTAGACTCAGTTAAAAGGCATCATGGGGCACTGGATCTGTGCTTCTAAAGCTCTCTAAACCCCAGCTAAATCTTCATTGTGAAAGGGTAAAATAGCTAGGGAAAACTAGGAGCAGCATTTTTTTCTAGGAGCCTACCCAAGAATTGCAAATTTGGGACAAGACTGAAATTTATGAGTCCCCTGGCATTTAGAACAAATTTCTCGACAAGCTGGTGAACTACTACACATTTTCAGGAGACATCCTCTGAAATGCTCATAGCACCTGGCTGAAGTTCTTCCTCAACCTAGAGGAAGGGCTCAGCTTCTCTGTGACAGCTCAGCTGCTCAGGGTTCATAGCATTTGTATTCCTGGGACAAGTATGATTTCAGACAGGGGCAGCAAAGAAGCGCTTGTGTGGAGAACTGTGTTCTTCTGTGCATAATCTCCTGAAACTTCAGGACTCAAAGGTTTACTTGTGACTGCAGAAGAGTAAACCTATGTGTTTAGAGGATGACTTTATTCTGAACCTTTATCAGAAACAATTGCTGATTCTAAGCTCTCAACAGCTGTACAGCCTCAGCCATTTCATTTGCTCCCAACATCTGTCAGAGGGGCCAGAAAGCAAAGCAAACCTGCTTGGAGAGAAACATCAATAGCATCATAATGTGAACAAAGAGGGATGAGGCTTCTCCCAAGATCTAACCCCCCCGCCCCCATTCCTCAAGGACATGGTATTGCACTGCTTGGGGCTGAGACCAGTGACATATGCGCATCCATCAGCAGAATTTGGTCCTGAAAGAGCACAGCTGGATGTGCTAATGGCAATGAATTATGTGAAATGTTCACTTAGGCCTCATTGGCTGACTAATGCTTTCTAGCTCTTAAGTCTATTTTGATCATTTCCATTCACCTTCAAAGCACCTTCTGAATATACCCAGTGGATTTCCAGTTATTAAAAGTCTTCAAAATCAAGACTGAATGTCTTTCTAAGAGGTGTATCATAGCTTTGCCACAGATCTATGCTCAAAGCAGATATCAGCTGGTAAAATAACCTAGCTTGTGTTATGCTCAGGCCAGAGCCAGTACCCTAAGAAGTCCCCTTTGGTCTTAGAGCTTAGACAGTGCCAACTTATGCCAACAGTAATGTGTATATGTAGCCAAATGCTTATGGCTGAATCAGAACATATCTTTGTATTAACTTACCCTACACCCAGGTAGACTTGCTCTTTGGTCTCCTCAGCACAGAACGCTTTGGTAATTGCGAACATCAAAACTTCCTGCAAAGTTAAAACTGCCACTGCTAAATCTTCAAAACTTTCCAAACACTGATTTCAGCTAGAGCCTGAGAATCAGGAACTGAGCAGCTACTGGAGGGCAGCACTGGGTGAAGGCCCTGGCAGGCAATGAGATACACAACAGCATTATAATGGGATGAAATACTTCGGTCTCTCAGTCTCCTTGGCTTGCCTTGTGGAAAAACAATCATACAGAGATGCCAGGAACAGCCTGTGTCACAGCCCTGAAATGTTCTATGGGACATTTCTTCTTCTAGGAATGTTTTTGCAGGTACCAGTGGTTTAGGAATTCTCAATATTTTAAAACCACGAGGGACCACTAGTATCATTTTTTCAGAGCTGAAAATGGTGTTCCTCCTTCCCTTCCACAAGCTGCAGGCTGTATTCAGAGAGCAGCCCAGTCTGGGAACCTGCAGCACAACAGCAAGCTAGGAGGCAGGATCATGCTGGGCACAGCACAGCACACCACACTGAAAGCCGAAGGGACCATTAGGACAAACAGTGCTTGGCTCAGGCAGAAGGGGCCAATACTGGCTTAGCTTAAAACCTATTTGCTTTTGTCTTCCAAATAGCATTCAGTTTGGAAGAGTTCAGTCAAGAAGTTGGCCTGAATCCCCAGCCTCAGTTGGAAGATTTCCCTCAGAGAACATATATACTAAGTGTCTGCTCAGTAGAAGGCCACCTAGACATTATGCTCCATTCCTCCTAAAAGAAGACGCTAAGATGGATGGGATACTTAGTCCTGCACAAAAGACATATAAAGGAAACATGACACAGATGTCCATGCAGTGTGAGTGAGACCGTGTGTTTGGAAAAGCATCATAAAAATTGGCAGAGGTCAGAGAATGGTGCAGTAAGTTGAGAGATCAAGAACAGTTATGAAAACCAAGGAAGTATATAGGTAACAGAAAGGCATTAGCAGGTGCTGAAGATATGGGAGTGCTGATGGCACCAGGGCCACAACATGGACAATGGGGCAATACAACTCAACCTTTGTCCAAAAATAGCAGAAAGGTAGCAAAGATTATGCAGTGTTATCATCCCTCAAGAACTCCAGAGACTTGAGGAGAAGCCAATAGCTAATGTCCCTTGTCCTTCAGGCTACCATGGCCAGTCTGCTTGGATACATGTGCCTTGGCACATGCAAGTATGACAGAGTAAGTGAGAATGTGTAAGTGAATTCTATGAAGCAATAAGAATGAGGGAAATCAGGGTTTTTTTTTTTTTTTGGGGGGGGGGAGAATAAAAAACTCCTCTCCCTTCTATCTGGTCTTGCATCGAGTTTTGCTGCAGAGTTGCTCTTCTTCTGCAAAATAGCAACATTGGTAGGCTTCAAAAATTGAATCTCATCACAACACTGAGCTAACAAACACCACAGCATTATTTACCTCAGGACAGGTACCTTGGGCCTGCTTTGTTGTAGTAATGAAATTGGTCACCAGAAAAAACGTATTTTCTCCCTAGGAGGCAAGAAAACTTCTTCAGCATTTAATTTACACTGTAACATTTTTTCCAGAAGCAGAACAAACCCAACTTCAATCCCAATTTGCATTTCCTTTTGCTTTCAAATTTATATTATTTATTTTTTTGGCAGTAGAGCTAATGAACCAGTCACATTTCCTTGTATAAAATGTTATAAGCAATTTTACTTGTTTACTACAGAACCTGCCATTCCACTGACTGAAACTTGGATTAAACAGCAAATAGCATCTGTGAAAACCTTCCCTTGCAGAAGGACAAGCAGCTGAACCATTAACAGCACTAGAGAACAGGAGAAAACAGAGCCCAATTTGGCTATAGTCCAGCCTCACTGAAATCAAAGGAGGAAACCAGCAACACTTTTTTAGCATCACCTTCTAACCCCAGCTTCCACAGTTCTGGCTCAAGTCACAAGGGTACTAAGAGACTCTCATTGATTTCAGTGCTTTGAAGCAGCCCCTCTGTATTTACAAGTGGGATAGTGGCAACAGGGGACAGAGCAAGGCTGGGAGCAGGGCAGCAGGCCAGAGGTAGGCACAGTACTCGCTGGAAGGAAAGCCATGCTGATGCCTCAGGAACTCTGTATTCTGGCTACACCGGATCAAAGCTATCAGGCCATGCCAGGCATCCAGGCCATCACAGAAACATGGGCCTTAGCCTACATGGCACCAGCACAAAGGGAATATCAACTGCTGCAGCAATCAAGTACCCCAACACCATCCCTCTCTCCAGGAGGGTGTTCTGCAACTCCTCACATGTGAGACTTTTCATGCTGCTCTGATGCTCCTCTTATCTTGTGTATCTGGGCACCCCCATAAAGGATGCCTACCTCCCCCCATCCCTTCTAGGCTCAGCAGGAGATGAGACAGGCACAAGTGACCCCTTACTTCTCTGTAATCAAGGCCTATTTTAGGACACCTGTTGATCCCCTGAGCTGCCAAACAGAGCCAGAAGACACAGAGTGAAGAGCAACAGGACCCTCCCATAGCAACCACATGACTTGGTGTCAGAGGACACAGAGGCAGTGCTGGGAAGATCCGTCCAAGGCAAAGACAAGCTTATGGGGGTGGACAGAAGCTTGGAGGTCCCCACGTAAAGTGATGCAGAAGATCTCTATGGTGGGCCATAGAGGATCTTTTGGTGAAGCAAGGTTAAGGCTGTGTGTGGGTGGGCAGGTAGAGGCCAGGGACATATGGAGGTAAAAAGCCCTCTGGAGAGTACAAAGCAGGGAGACAGCTTGACAGCTTTCAAAGTTTGGGGTTAGCCATTTGAAAGATGGTGAAGGCATGCCAGCAACTCTGTGACTGGCACCAGGGCTGTTACAAGATATGCTGGTATGTGAAACAGGCAGTGTGCTGTTGTTGGAGAGAACACACCCGAGGAGCCAAAAACACACTTGGTCACTCCGTCTCCAGTCCAAGCAGCTCCGTTCTCATCATGCTTCTGGGACAAGACTGGTCCACTGTGGGACACACACTCTGACCCTGACGGGCTTGCAGGAAATGCACACTTTTGCTCACGCCCTTCTGAACATCTAGCTACCTCCCACTGCCACTAGGACCAGTCCCACCTGTTAAAGGGAGCTAAATCAGTCTCTCTGCTGTGCATTTTGGACAGCCCTCAGTCTGGGGGTCTACCGTGAGGAAGCCAGGCCTTTGGCATGCACAGCTGCAAGCAGGGTGCACGTACCTGAGAAGGCTTCACATAATCTGCCACATCCCACAGCCTGTTTCCAGCGTCCTTGACTTCGGTGACTGAAATCCCCTTGAGTTTGGTAATCACTGAGAAGTGGGGGGCAGAATCGGTTTCCTGGTACCCCTTCTTTACTAGGAATACCCACCTGGAGACAGCACAGGAGGCAAGGGACACTGACGGGGAGGACGGAGCCAGGCAGCCCAGGCAGGATCCAGCTTTGGGGCGCCCGCATTAGAGCCAGCCCTGCCGCGTTTCTGCTTGGGGCCC